ATTGACACGTTCACTGACAATAACACCTGGAGTAAATTGTTGTAATCCAAATTGTAAAAGTGATAGTGCAATTGAACAATTCGGAGTACCTTCACTACCTGAAAACCAAGCAACAGATAAAGTATGAGATGATGTTATTTCTTCGATAAATGCTGCATGATTGGCCGATCTTGGCGGAGAAAGATATGCATATGAAGTACCATCAGTTGATCGACGGATGATACCATCATATGTTGTTGTTGTTGTAGTAGATTGTGCTAAGTAGATGAAGAGCAAGAATATTGATAAAAACATGTTTCGATTATTCTTGTTTCAGCATAAATAAATTTTAAGGAGAATAAAAAAGCAGAAATAAAGAGCAGCTGAAGTCATTTCTCATAAAACTACCCTATATATTTTTTATTCTCTGATTCATCGGACTGCCTTAGTATGTTATTATAAATGTGGCGTGGTAACATTGGTAGATTATTTTATCATTTAGTTTCTGTTTTTATTATCACGTAGAACATACACTTATCTAAAAGAGCGTTAAAACAAAGCAAAAAAAATGAGTAAGATAACAAACGAGAATGAAAAACAGGTTGATGCTGATTCAATAAAATCTACTGGATCAAATATTGGTACTGTCGTTGAAACATGTCCTGGTCGTTTTGAACTACGTACTGATAATCCATGGGAAGAAATTTGTGGTCATACACGTGCTGTACGACGTGGACCTTTTGTTATTATAGCTGGTACAACAGCTAGTGATCCTACAAAAGGAGTTCTTCATGTAAGTTTTATTTTAATTACATATAAAAGTATATAAAATAATCTATATGTATTAGCCCGAAAGCAGTTATCATCAAGCAGTAATCATCTTTGAACGTATTACTAATGCATTAGTAACCATAGGTGCTAAAGTGACCGATATTGTTCGTGTACGAATGTTTATGTTCGTATTATATACATATATTATTTCATTTAATTGACTATTTTATTTTTTTTTCAATTTCAATTATAGTATTGATATAGCTGATCAAGATGAAGTCTGTCGAGCATTTAAAGAAGCTTTTCATTCTTATGGTATTCGAGTACCTGCAACACTTGTTCAAGTGAATGCTTTCGTTCATCCCGATATGCGTGTTGAGATTGAAGCTGATGCTATTATTTTATAATATATTTAGTCTTATATCTTAGTAATCGAATAAATCTATTTATAAGTATTCATAAATCTTTTTTACAGAAAAGAAAAGGTTGTATAAAAAAACGCCTGATTAATATCAAAGTTCTATAATGATGTTATTGGATATAAAATATCTCTTCTAATATAAAATAAAAGATAAGCATCTCTAGAGATAATTTCATGCTCATACTCAGATGGTTTTACACTTGTTACGGATGAATCATCAAATTTAAACCATTTATTTTTACTTGAGGATAGATCTTGAGCATATGCTACATAATGACCACCAAAAATTGATCCCATATGATTACAAACAGCAATTAAATCATAAATAGCGTCATCGGATGATGATGATGATGGTAGAAATCTCTTTAAATCAAGTCCTTCTAATGGATAATTAACGAATGTTTCAACCTTTTGATGTAAACCATTTTCATGTGAAAATCGTTTAAATTGAATAATAAGAATCGATGGAAGTGTACGAAGTTTAAGTTGTTTCATTGGTATTACTTTTTTTTTACAATTTTCTTGTTGACATCTCCATTCATCTTCGAGATATTCTTTTGAAAAAAATTCTTCAAGACAATTGTCAAGAGTAGATGCTGTTTTCGGTTTTTCTAAAGGCTTAGGTCGAATATTATCACAGCGTTCTTCTTGTTCCATAAATATTAATTCATCACCAGTGATTTGACTAAGTGGTGTATTCAAATCGACTTCACCATCAGGTAACATGACGAGTACATAGTAAAAGAGTGATGGTTCAGTATGTTTTTGAGCGAATGCTTCGACAAGATGTCCAACTTGTCCATCAATAGGTACATCTACAAGAGTAAGTTCATCTTTACCTTGTTTTGTAATAAAAGTAATCCAGAAACGACGTTCTTGACGATTGAGTGGTATAGATAAACTACTAATTGGATTTATTGTTGAGTCTTCTTTATGACATGCCGTACATGTTACAGTTGATGTTATTTCTCCGAAGAAAAGTTTTTTTATAATTGTATTTCTATCATTTTTATTTTTTGTCTTTAATTCTTGATGTATAATATCAAGAAGAAAAGTCATAAATTCTTGAGCATCTTGTTGATCACTTGAAGCAAAACGTGAATCTTTTTTACCCATATTATCTTTAATACGATTAGGTGTAAAAGTATACATATCAGGATTATTTTCATCACGTTTCCGTAAATTCCAAAGTAATTCAGCATAGGCTCCAGTTACATCTCCTACTGCATCATAAGGATTCCAATCATTATTTTCATCTTCATTATCTCTCATATGAGTACGATCCATACTTTCTAAAAAGAAATTAGTTAATGGTGGTATATGAGCAAGACATTGAAGTGCACTATTCATATAACATGAATTTCCAAGATTAGTCAAACCAATAGGTATTCTAGATGTAGACTGTGATTTTATTTGTTTATCTGGTTTGAGTGACATAGTCGTTTGTTTGCTTACGATTGATGAATAAATAGGAGATTTATCTATCATAATGGCATTAATTTTATCATTAGGTTTAATTCCTAAATCAGCTAAACATCGAAAGGTATCATTTTCTAAATTAATATGAATATCATTCGAATTTATTTCAGATAAAACTAATCGTTTATTGGGTATACGAGATTTTATTTCTCTAATTAATTGTATAATAGTATCTCTTACTGATATTTGAAAAGTGACAGGATTATCCGTTGGAAATTTACAAATAACCATAACTCTATCATGTTTTGTTTTTGGAGTTGATGATAAAGATGAATCTGTTGATATGCTATTTTGAGTATTATTAATTAATGATTGAGTTTTTCGAGTAGTTGCACGAAAAGTAGCGTATACAGTTTGACCAGGTTTAATACCAAACGATTTTAAAACTCGATAAAAATCATTCAGATCAAGTTCCTCTTTTGTTTCATTTGATAACTTAAAATCAATAATATTACGATCTTTACATTGCATCTGAATCTTATCTTTTAACTCATTAATTGTTGTCGTATTTGGTACATTTACAATAAATTTATCACCATTATAAATACATTGTACATGAACATCTGTACCTTCCTTCGTGCTTGTTTTTACGAGTGGTGGAATGATCTGAACGTAAATCGACATTCGATCATGTATATTTAATTCACTTAACCGTTTTTTACCATCAGAAGATATATCGAGTTCTTCCGCAATTGTAAGAAGATGAATTCGGTCACGGCTAATTGATTGTAATGAAAATTGTTCGATAATGTATTCGAGAAGTATCGCCAGTGTTGTTTTTGCTGTGTACCACTTAAAATCTATCCTGTCTGTTTCATCTGGAGAAACTACCGTTAATTGGCATTGTTTTGGAGGTGGTGCGTTATTTTCTGGTTCAAAATAGAGTGTACAACCATCAGTCACGCCTACATCCCGTAATGATCTCCGTTTTTCGGTTACTTTCAATACATAGTAACGACCATTCAAACCAGCTCCAACAAGAGAAACAACTTCTGGAGAAATATCATCAAGGCACAGGAATTCTAAAAGATCTTTTGTAATTCTGCCAACAGTATTTGTCAAAGAAGTTTCAATATCAGTGTGTAATTCTGTACCATATCTTCGATCGTTATATCGAAGTCTCAGATTTATACGTTGATCTTCTCGATTTTGTTCTCGGAAAGGGCTATTCCGATTCATTACAGGATTTGCTGGAAGCGAACGATACATAATGGTACTTTGTCCGTAATGTAATTGTGATAAAAAATTATACAAGATTTGTCATCTAAAATACATAGTTTTAAAGGAAGAAGAAAAATATTATATTTATGAATCATTCGATTATTAATTTTGTACGAAATCTATTAAAAATATTTCATTTAGCAAAAAGATATAATTTCTTCTAATACTCACATATATGTAAAAATTAAATCGAAATAACAATGTGGATTTTTTTCTTTTTCTCGGCACGTTTCGTCGTCTAAGTTTACCTTTATTTTTCTTCTTCCTTCTCTATGTAACTGAAGAGAAATCGTCGTCGAAAAACAAGTTTTTATTATTATTTTTCTTCTATTTTTTTTAATAAACATACAATTTTTATTATTAATGTTCCCAAGCTTCATCAATGTATAAAAATAGTCCTATATCATTAGAATACCTTTCAAAACATCATGATCAATTTTTTGAGTTTATAACGTATTAACATTTGTTTTTAGCGACATCTATTTTCATTATTATATGTATCATTTTTATTTGTTAACTTATTCAAAATCTATCAAGCACGGAACTAGAAAAAAATATATACATAAAATAAATTTTTTTAATAATTCATATTCATAAAAATGAAAAATGTTCGTGATATAAAAGCATGAAAAAAGGTGATTGCCTTGTAACACATGTGAGTTTAACATACCGTATCCGACATATGTGATTCAATAGTTTATAAAAGAGAAAAAAAAAGTATATATAATATATTTGAACTATCACCGATAAAAATCAAACCTGAAATATATGAGACTATATATAACAAAACTGAAGTCATAATCGAAAGAATATTGGTATGTTTACAAATACTAAATATGTAACTAACACGAATCTGTTATAGTTTTAAATGAAATGATAAACAATTTTTTTGTTGTTGTACTTCTATAAAAGAAACTTTTTTTTTTGTCATAGTCTATCGATGACAACCTTGGAATGCTATTTTATGCGCCAAACTGACGGATCATATATGTATATATTGATGAATGGCTATGCTTCAGTAGTTTAATCATGAAATTATTATAATATTCTGTATTGCTTCTCTTTCTTTAAATAGGCCTAAAAACGATTTTTCTTTCTTATTGTATTTTAGATTATATATTCATTTTTCATGAATTTTTTGGTCATTATTTTAAGTTTTATTTTAATTTTTGGTATAAATTCAAATGATACTGATGATACAAGTGGTATTGATGTATTAGATATATTAAAAGAAAAACAAACTTCTTGTGATCTACATGATTTTGTAATCGGAAAAGAAAATTCCGAAAAAGAATATATAGCTTTAGTTTATGACTTAGCAACATATTGTTCCGAAACTGAATCAACATCTTTATCTCGAATTTTATGTCGTATGATATTAATAGAACTTGAAATTGGATGTTCATTACCTAATAAATCACGTCCAACACCAGTTAAATATATTAATTCATATACATCAACACAAATATGTTCAATGAACAAAATAATGTATACGAATAGATGGATTTGGAATAAATTTACTGAGAAAGAAAAAGAAGAATTGGGTTCATCATCGGCTCATATATGTCCAAAATTAACTTCTGTGAATTCTACACTTCGTTTAACAAGATTTTTTTATAAAATTGCACCACGTATTAGACGTGTTGAAGCTTCGAACACTAATTTAACTGCAAATAAATCAGAAATAACAAATCTTAAAAATATAAAAAAAGATTCAGTAGATGCCGAACAACCGGTAGCAGATAAACCAGATGAAAATAAGGAACCAGTAGAAATCGATTCAAAAAAGAAAGAATCAAGATCAAGTAAAATATTTCGATTCTCTTATTATTTCTTAAACTAATTATTTATTTGTTTTTATAGATATTAGACAAAGACAAAATGAAAAAAGTATGATAAATAAATGAATTCTATTATATTATTAATAGTAAATATTATTTTAGGAAAACAACTCATAGATAATGATGATTATGATGATGACGATAATGCAGCAGATGTTAAAAAGAATAAAGATACTAAGAACAAAGAAGGTTTGTTGAGAGTGGGTGTGGGTGTGAATCACATTAAGATTTTTTAGCTGAATTGGTAAAAGACGATGGTAAAGAAATCAAATCATCCGATGAAGTAAAAGACAGAAAAGGTAGTTAAATTTGACTTGATTTTAATTTAAATAATTTATAATTTATTTTCAAGACGATACTCGAGTGAAACGAGGTAGTTTGTAATTTTGACATTAAATCAATGAATTTATTTTATTTTTTCTTAATAGAAAAGGAAGAAGTTAAGGAACGAAGAAGTAAGTAATTACTTTAATAAATAAATAAAAAAAGAAATAATTTTTATTAATTAGAACCACAAGCTCCTGATGGTGAAACTGGTTTTCAACTAAATGAACGTGAAAAAGAATGGGTTGGAGGTATTATATTAAATCGGATAAGGGTACTAAAATCTAACATTAATTTAAATTAATTCAAATAAAATCGAACTAACAATTATTTTATAGGAAAAAAAGATGATAATCAACCAAATTGGAGTTTAAAAAAAAAGAATCGAATTGATTCGGATGATAAATCATCACATACATTTTCAAAACGAAGGAGAATTTCACTTAGTAAGAAATAAATTAATTTCACAAAAAAAAAATATTTCATAAATTTTAAGGATCAAAATCAAATGATGATCATGATGATGTTAATTCTGATGAGAAGACAAGCAATTTTACAACATATTTTCTTATTTTTACTTTACTCATTGTTGCCACTTATTTCATATTACAATATAAAAATAAAGTAAATTATTCGATTTTTTTTTCTGATTAAGAAATATAAATAATCTTCTTTATATAGGCAATAGGTATAATAATCGAAGGATGTAAACAAAGACGTGGAGTATATGGACGTCGTGCTGGTGGAAGTGGTACTTGATTATATTTAGATTTTTTTAATAGACAATAAATGTATTCATTTTTCTTATTGTAATATTCTTATTTCTCAATACATCTTCTTAAATAAAAAGAAAAAAATTTTTTTTTTTCAATATTTAATAATATTGAAAAATTAGAGATAGATTATCTATGTAAAAAATCATCATTTAATGCATTTTTAAATTCTATTGTAACATCCGAACTTAGCTCAGTTGGCAGAGCGGTAGGCTGTAATGGTGTCATCATAGTAACCTATAGGTCCCCAGTTCAAATCTGGGAGTTCGGATTTCTCCTTTTTTTTCTTTCCTCCTTCTTCCCACGATGGTTTTTTGTATAATAACTAAAGAATACAGGAAGGAAAAAAAGCAGCGATGTAAATATTGTTTTTTTCTTCCTAATAGAATATATAATACTGATGGCTAAACTTGGATTTTATTTTTAGAACAAATATTATGTCATACCAAGTAATGTTTTCATTAATGGATGTATTTCTACTGTACTTGCATCTCTCTTTATTGTTTGTTGAAAATCTTGAGAAGTTGCTTGTAATTTAAATATATTTTCTACTAAACGTATCATTTTAATCACTGCTATATCAAATGAAAATTTATCCATTAAATAACGAAAAAGTAAATCAACATATTTTAAATGTGCATTAAATACATTCTGTGGATTAGATAATAACCATAGCTGTTCATCATTAACTGTTGTACCTTTTAAAAATATTAAAATAAGCATAAGTAATTGTATAATCATTGTATCATTATCGATTAAATTAATAATTGTATGAATATAAGATATATAATTATTCATTCTTTCATAACCATAAAATAGATAGCATAAACTTTTATAATGATAAGCAAAACTTTTATCATTTGAAGATAATGTTGTTAGTTCCGTAGTATTATAAAGTAACTCAGTTTTTCGATCAAATACAAGTATATCATGTAAACAAAGTAATGGAATAATATTATACTTAGCAAGTGCTAAACGATCATCTTCACATAATGATTCAAATTCTGGTATTAATCGCAGAAAATTAATTATTCGAATTGGAATATTTTTTTCTATTTCTATTAAATCAACAAATGAATATGTTTTAGTTAATGACTCATCAAATGTTATTAAAGATGAAGTAAATGAAGTTGAACGAAGAGCAGAAATATAAGAATCTTTAATATGTGATAAACATAATCGATCGATATCAGTTAAAGTGCATATTACACTAACATTATCCTAGAAGAACGATGAATAGCTTCCATCATTAAACTAATCAATTAATTACTTACTAATTTACACTTTATATGATTTTGTTTTGAACGAAGACGACGATTTTCTTCAATAAGTTGTTTTTTTCTTAATTTTTCTTCTCGAGTTATTAAATGATCTTTACGCATACCTAAAATTTTATTAATAGAATTTAAATGAAAGACAATTTTCTACTAACCTGATTCAAAACATTTAAGTAACCGACAATGTTGACATTTCTGTTTCATATCATATCGAATTTTACATCGATTATTAATTGATACTTCTTTTTTATTAATACATGTGAAGTTTCCCTAAAGAGTTTTCCAGTATATTTTAATAACTATAGAAAAAAATGAAAGAATATATCTACTATAGGCAACAAAGCATTTCGACGAAAAAATTCTATAATAGAAATAATAATTATTTAAAATTTTTTTTTATAGATTTACCCTTGCATGAACCACATGAAATTTGAGCGAAATTGTAGCCTGATGCAGGTTTTTGACATACCACACATGTTAGATCAGATCGATTTCTTAATTTATTATTATTCTATAATAAAAATCAAATAATATTTTTAGATTAAAAAAAACAACGTATTTATCCTAAAAATCTTTACTTTATTTGATGGAATTGAATTGATTTTATCATTACCACTATCCATTATTAAATCAATTAATTATTTGTGTTTCTAGTTGAGAAAGTAAAAAAATATTTTATAGAGTCCTGTAATAGGCAACCAAAATAAGAAGCTTTCATCCGTGAAAATATTCGTCTGTTTGTCTCATACGATACACGTGTATTGAAAAGTAAAATAAAAAATATTATAACATCAATCTATATGTCAATCTTTTCATCAAAATATCAACGAGATATAATCAAAGTTCTTATTGCACTTTTTATGCAAAACAATAAAAAATGAATGAAATAAATAATCTAAATTTTGTTCATTGACAATATTTAACTAATAAAATATATTTGAATAATACAAGCTATTTTTCGTTCGGTGAATATCATCAATAAACCTGCTATAATTATTTAAATCGATGTCTTGCATAAAAAATAATATAATAAACGTGATGTGCGAAAAGCACAGAAAAATATTTATTTATACCTAGCCGATGTGCGCAAAGCATACGGCTTCAGTCATATAAATACTAGTGCTTTTAACAAAACGAATCATGTTAAAAAAATCGTTTCGTTAGTATCATGTCTTCACCATCAAATATGACCAACCATATTAATGTTGCAGTTATTGAAACTGATTTTGAAACAAATATGAAATATAACGATGATATATCCAAACAACGTACAATTTCAAAATGTGGCGATGCTACAATAGGTGTTCGGTTGTCTATTGATGGTGTGCGTGTAGTGGAGGATTTATCTTCAAGAATTACAATTACATTTCAAAATATCTGTAAAATAATTGATATTCCTGGAAAGATGATGGATCCTCCATCAAAAGAAAAAATAGTTCAACGAACTTTACTTGATAATGTATCTGGTCAAATTCATCCAGGACAATTAGTAGCACTTATGGGACCATCTGGTTGTGGTAAAACAACTTTACTTAATACATTAGCTGGCCGTTCATTAAATGGTGTTACTGGTAATATTTGGCTTAATCATCAGCTCTATGAAAAAAGTATGAAACGTATATTAGCTTATGTGTTACAAGAAGATATTTTTTTTGAAAATCTTACTGTTAAACAACAATTGACATATACAGCTTTACTTCGATTACCAAATAATTTAACACGAAAAGATAAACTTGCTCAAGTTGAACAAATTATTGAACAATTACATCTTCAAAATTGTGCAAATACTCCAATTCTACTTATATCCGGTGGGCAAAAACGACGTGTCAATATTGGCACAGAATTATTAACTAATCCAAGTGTTATTTTCCTTGATGGTTAGTCACATTTTATTGAAATTTTTTACATTTTTGTTTTCTTTCTAGAACCAACATCGGGTTTAGATAGCACATCAGCTGTTACTCTTATGCGTATTCTTCGTGAATTAGCATTAAAAGGTAAAACAATTATGATGTCTATTCATCAACCATCATCACAAATTTTTCAATCATTTGATCAACTCATTTTATTAGCTGATGCTAAAACTATTTTTATGGTATACATCAATACAATATTTTAACTATTCAATTAATATCTGCTTTTTTTTCTTTCTTAGGGTAAGCCATCGAATGCTTTAGATTATTTTGCAACATTAGGTCATCATGCACCTTTACAATATAATCCAGCTGATTTTATTATGGATCTTGTCAATCAAGATAACGGAATTCGTGAAGAACTTAAAGAAGCTTATATTCAAAATAAATCATCGAATAATATACAATATTCAACTGAAGGTCAAAAATATCTTATCGATGAACCAAATGGAGAAGAAATAGACTTAATCAATAAATATCCTATTAATTTAATGTCAAATAAAAATGAAAGTAAATGGCCAATTGGTTTTTTCGCACAAACTTGGATACTTTTTTCACGTAATTGGGTATTAACAAGTAAATCTCAGTTTACAAGACTTAATTGTATTCAAGCAGTTTTTATTACAATTATATTTGGTCTTTTTTGGTTACGTATGAAATATCATGAGAATACAATACAAGATCGATCATCATTTATATTTTTTTTATTAATATTTTGGCCTTTAGAAATATGTTTTGGAGGTGTATTATCATTTCCTAGTGAAACTTCTGTTATTAATAAAGAACGAGCAAGCGGATCATTTCGTTTATCAGCTTATTATTTTGCTAAATGTCTATCTGAAACTCCAATTAAACTTGTTTTACCGGCCATTTCTCTTACTATTATGTATTGGATGGTAAATGTCAATTCAAATTTTGCTAATTTTCTTGGTATTCTTTGTTTTCTATTAATGTCAGTTCTTGTTGCTGAATCAGTTGGCCTTTTCTTTGGTGCATTATTTCAAGATGTAGGAAGAGCTTGGGTAGCATGTAATGTATCTGCACTTGGGTTTTTATTAGCCGTTGGATATTTTTCTCATAGTACACCATATTGGCTTACCGTTTGGGTGAAATGGATATCATTCTTTACATATGCATATAATGGATGTATGCAATTACAATTTATGGGTGAACGAACATATCAATGTACAGATGGCGCATACATTGATACGTGTAAAAATAATCCAAATGGAACATTTATTAGTAATGAGGCTATAAAATATTTCAATCTTGATCTTAATGTTGGTTTCAATTTTCTTGTACTTTTCGGTATGTTTATAGTATATCGTATTGCAGCATACATTGCATTACGATTTTCTAATGTTCGTGGAGGTCGTACTTAGATAGAACATTTTAATTTTGATGTATTTATTTGTACGTGTTTGTTTTTCAAATAAAATCTCGGTATATTCATCTTTAATTTAAAAAAAAACTTTATGTCTATTTTTGTTGTGCTTATGTGAAAAAATAGTCACCTAGCACATCAGTTATCAAATAGATAACATATGACATATTTTTTTGCTGTGCCATTGTTGATACACTATAATGTTTTTTTTTCTTTCTTACATGATAAAGCAAAAAATGATATGATGTATAAAGATCCACGTATTGTCGCGTTATAAATTCAGTTGGGTTTTGATAACAAAGAAGTAACATACAACAAAAAATGAAAATTATCTTTGCTTTTTTTTGTCTTCTTATTGTAAGTGTTTATTGTGCACCAATAGTCGATGAACAATTAAATGACTCTTGGACATTATTTAAACGTGTTTATAAGAAAGGATATGCATCAAATGATGAGGAAACTGCTCGGTAAGTAAAAATAATTATTTTTATTTTATTGTTTTTTAATAAAAAATTCATTGTTATGCTAATAGACGAACAATTTGGGAAAAAAATCTTGCCAAAATTCGTAAACATAATCTTGAAGCCGATATTGGTCTTCATAAATATAGAATGGGAATGAATCATTTTGGTGATTTAGTATGTTTTTTTTTAGATTTTTAGCAGAATTCTAATTATCGTTTGTTTTCTATATATAGGCTCATGAAGAATTTAAAAAACAAATGAATGGATTTAAAATGAATGCTAATACGAATGCACATACACAAGATCGTCATATGTTTGTAGCACCATCAAATGTCGTTATTCCAGATGAAGTTGGTATGTTTTATTACTAGCAAAATCTATCACTAAATAAAATATATGTATGAATCTATTTAGATTGGCGCAAAGAAGGATATGTTACTCCTGTTAAAGATCAAGGACAATGTGGATCATGTTGGGCTTTTTCAGCAACTGGTTCACTTGAAGGTCAAACTTTTGCTAAAACCAAAACACTTCCTTCACTTTCCGAACAACAATTAGTTGATTGTTCAACTAAATTTGATAATCAAGGTTGTGATGGTGGTTTAATGAATAATGCCTTTGAATATATCAAACAAAACAATGGTATAGATTCTGAAAAAAGTTATCCATATTTAGCTTATGATTCAAAATGTCGTTTTAAACCAGAAGATGTTGCTGCTACTGATTATGTAAGATGAATTTATATAAATGATTATATTTCATCTTTATTTTAGGGTTACATTTATATTAAAGAACAAAATGAAACTGATCTTACAATTGCTATTGCTACAGTTGGTCCTATTGCAGTTGCTATAGATGCTGGACATGATTCATTTCAATTCTATTCTAGTGGTATTTATGATGAACCAGAATGTTCAAGAACTGATCTTGATCATGGTGTATTAGCTGTTGGATATGGTCAAGAGGGTTCAAAACATCCCGAATATTATTATATTGTTAAAAATTCATGGAGTGAAGGATGGGGTGATGGTGGTTATATTAAAATGCTTCGAAATTCAAACAATCAATGTGGTATCGCTACTATGGCAAGCTACCCACTTGTCTAATTTGTTTTCTACGAATTTAATTTGAATATTTTAAAATACTATTTGATTTTTGAAAAATTTTATCAGAAATAAATTCTTAATATATATTAATGAAACATTTTACGATTTGTATAGAAAGAACAATATAGAGTGTGAGTGAGGGCCATGTTCTTCATCGACACCCTTATATCGCACATGGTTATGTAGAAGAACAAACGAAAGAAAAAGAAACTAGAACTCTGAACAGCAATTAGCCGCTGTTGAGTTATCAATTCCTTATATTCGACATGCGATCGAAGCACTCGATATCGATTGTTCGCTTTTATCCATACTAATTATTGCTGATTTTGGTATAGTGCATGGAAATAATTCAGTCTGTGCGATGAAAACTATTATCAATTATCTTCGAGAAATAAACAAAGACATACAAGAACCTTTGATCATTCATAACGACCTTCCAACCAATGACTGGAAATCAGTATTTCAAATTTTGATCGATGACAATTCATACAGTGGTATGGCTTGTGGTTACTGTTTCTACAGAAAATGTCTTCTAAAAAACACCATGTAATATATCGGCTCATTGTGATATCCATTGTACTCGAGATTTAAAAGAACAAGAAGCATTCAAACATCAAGTTTATCTCGATAACTGTGATTTTTTGAAATATTGATCTCTCGAGCTTGTATCAGGCGTTATTCTCATTCTTATTTTTCCTGGTGTTAATAATCAAGGAAAGTGTGGATACGAAGGTTCTAGTGATCTTCTCTACAAATGTGCTCAATCACTTCCTTTAACATCAAAAGAATTATTCAATTATACATTTCAATCATATTGTCGATCACTTGATGAATGTATCGATGAGAAGCTTTTCAATGAATGTTCACTTGACTTAATTACATTGAGTTTGGTCTTCGTCGAATCACCTTTGTACCAACGATGGCAAATAAAACAAATACCATTAGACGAATTTGCTCACTTAAACACATTTTCTGTTCGTAGTTGGTCAGAATCAACTCTCAAACAAACATTGATCCATAATGGTCGAACGAAAAACGATGTTTCTCATTTATTAGATCAATTTTATACTTTGTATGAAAAAGAAACACAAGAACAACCAGATATTCATATTAATTGTGGGTACTCTGTTTATATAGTTTTAAAAAAGAAATAATAATAGTCATAATCAACACTTCATTTACATTCACTTGATTACTTTCTTCAATGAAAATTTTATACATCTGTCGATTTTTCAGTTGAATTAATTAAAAAAAATATTTGTTTCAGAGTTGTATTGAACCTTTGTATTTGTCCAGAAACTAAATATAAATCGCGATTTACTGCGAGCTTTTCTCTCGTATTGATTATAAACATTTTAGGTGTTTTTTGTTGAGAACTCAACAGAATACAATGTAAGGCATAAGTAATTCAAAAAATCTATTAGAATCATTTTTTATCAATAAATTGTGAGGGTGGGTGTGAGCGTTGAAGACAATATAGATAGATAAAGGATTATAACATCCACACCCTCACCCGTACCCTCAGATGTGAATGCGCTCTCATCAGAATACATGTAGTTAGTAACAAGGAATGATTAATATTCGTCACATCTGTATTTACAACCACTCAGTTGTTAAAAAAATGATCTGTCTTTTATCAATTATAGCTTTTTTTCAACAATCGCCATGCAATATCATTTCGAAATATTATTTCATGTCATATATTATTTGGTGAATAATAGTTTATTAAGGAATATGAATGATTAAATAGTTTGATTACATATAAAAAAATGTATGATCCAGTTCACAAAAGAAAATGTCATTGTGTCTATATCGATTAATAGAACTCAGCACTATTTAAGGTGACATTATCGTTGACCTGTCCACCAGTAACTAATACTTTCCCATTTGATAATGTGGATGCTGTGTGAGAATATCGGGCGAAAGTCATATTTTCTGTAGTTGTCCAAGTGCCTGTTGATGGATTGTACAATTCAGCACTATTGAGATAAATATCGTTGTTCTCTCTGCCAGCAACTAGTACTAATCCATTCGCTAATGTGGTTGCTGTGTGAGAATCTCGTGTGAAACTCATGTTTCCTGTAGATGTCCAAGCCCGTGTTGATGAATTGTACAATTCAGCACTACTGAGGCTGAGGAAACTATTACTCATGCCCCGCCCACCAGTAACTAATACTAATCCATTTGCTAATGTGGATGCTGTGTGATCCCTTCGTGCGACATTCATGTTTCCTGTAGTTGTCCAAGTGCCTTGTGATGGACTGTACAATACAGCAGGATTGAGAAAATTACGATCGTTGTATCCACCAGTAACTAGTATTAATCCATTTGGTAATGTGGTTGCTGTGTGCCGAGATCGGGCAACACTCATGTTTCCTGTCATTGTCCATTCTAGGGTGTGGGTGTGGGTGTGGGTGTGGGTGTCAATTTAGAAAAGAGACACTCACACCCACACCCACACCCTCAATTTAAACGTAAAAAAAAGAGCACACTATTCTTCGAAGCAACTTTCTGTTTGTCTATTAGTCTCACGTAAGTAAGAGAAGATAACCACTATTATCTCCAACATTAAAAATGTTGTTACGTTCTTATCTTAATATAATAAATTTTACATATGACCAGGATAGTGAAAAATTGTGCTCCATGTCTAAGTTTTCTGACACTCTCACTCGTCTTACTTAATGTTATTTTTTCATTCCGTCTACATCATAGTCGAAGTTCTACCTTTTTTACAAGAATGAATCAACAGGCTTCGAATCCGTAACGAATAGGTTGAGGCTGTTGAAGTGATAGAGTTCGGTCAAAAATGCCCGAATTGGGTTCGGGATATCGAAACACGATCGACAGTTTGCTTGAAAGAGTGTGGATGATCGAGACAGTAGTCAGACCCAGACCATACCCTCAAGATGATTCAAAAAGTGTCAAAGTTCGTCACTTCAATAAAGTAAATGTTGTTCGTACATATATTGGTACTAATTAATGATTTAAGATAAGATCAATTCATACTGTCTATTTTTATACAAATATAATTTTAGATAGTATTCTTTTTGCTATTTAAATCATAAACATATTCTTCGCATTGTAACTACTCAATACCATTGAATAGAAGTTTCTCATATAAATCCTTAATATGCTATTATATATACTGTATTTGATATTAGTTCTATTAATTAGTTATCAACTTACATTATTTTTATTATATCATTAGTTAATTAAAATGATCTATACCAATTTCATTTATTAAAATATGCACTTCCCTAAAGTATTCAACTCAATTAAGTATTAAATCAACACGATATACACTTATTAGTATTCGTATATAAAATTTTATTGTAATTTTGATATTATATTTAAATGAAGATGAATATTTTAATTTTCTTCATACACAATCAACTTCAAAATATATAGATGGCGATAGATCCTTACAGTTTTATTTTTTCGTCGATTCGGGATAAATAAGCCAATGAAGTTGAGCAGAAAATATTGTTGACTTTTTTTTCTTTATTCGAAAAAAAAACAGTATTCTTCACTTCGATATTTTAAAATTCCATTTCCTATACTTTAGAAATCATGTCATCCGAACAATCTAAATCATCATTTCGTGTAATGACATACAATATTCGTATGGATACGTTTTTTGACGGAAAAAATCGATGGAGTTGTCGTAAGGATCGTGTTGTTAACCTTATTCGTTCCTACGCACCAGAAATATTTGGTGTTCAAGAAGCTCTTTCTCAACAAATGACTGATCTACAACGTGATTTACCTAATTATGGCTCGTATGGTGTTGGTCGTGATGACGGTAGGGATAGTGGTGAATATTCTGCAGTATTTTATCGTCACGATCGTTTTGAACTCCTCGATCGAGGTACATTCTGGTTGTCAAAGAATCCAGACACACCGGGCAGTAAAGGCTGGGATGCTGATCTCCCACGAATATGTAGTTGGATAAAACTGAAAGATCGTTTAACGAATAAAGAAATCTATTATTTTAATACACATTTTGACCATAAAGGTACCGTTGCGCGCCAAGAAAGTGCTCGATTGATTTTAGATCGTATTCAACAGATCACGGGATCTGGAACACCAGCAATATTAACTGGTGATTTTAATACAGGACCTGAATCAGATGCTTATCATACTATTATAACAAATAATATTCTTCAAGATACCCAACTTTTAACTGAATCATCTCATTCTGGTCCTCAAGGTACTTGGTCTACTTTCGACGTCGGACATGGTATAGGCGATCGAATAGATTATATTTTTATTACACCATTACACTTCAAAGTATTGAATCATGCTCATTTAACTGATTCGCAAGATAAGTGTTATCCATCCGATCATTTACCAGTCTTGACAGAATTAGTTTATACACATTAATAATGCAATAAACTAAACTTAATATTTATTCATGACTAATATATTTTTTTATTGCATAAGATTTTTCGATTATTTAGTTATAATCCGATAGATTTCCTGTGAAAAATTACTAACACTTATAATAAAAAAAGAGGTTATATCTTGTATACAAAATATGTTGTTCAATTATCTGTTAATATTTTAATCCATATTTCTTCTTAATATAGATTCTAATTGTTTGATACATACCATCAAAAGATATAAGTGAAAATGGTAGAATAAGTTTTTTTTTCTTATATAATTTATAAATGAAATACTTTTTTGTTCTTATTTAAAATAAAAGAAAAAATATTATTTGTTCTGAATAAATCAGAAATATCGATTTCAATGGAAAATCTTAATAATAAGTAGAGTCATAATTAACATAAAAATATTTTGCTTCAATGTTGAAGAGTTATTTTTAATTACCGGTCGACGCATTGGAATCGCTGTATTCTGCATAATACGTTGAATCCAATCCAAATATGATGAAAGTCGAGTATAGACACCTGAATGACCAATAGATATACAACCATGAGTATTGGAAAGCATTCCGATCTAAACAATAACAAAAAAATTTATAAATATAATTCTATATATTCTACTATTTACTTGTTCCCAATAATCATTTCTATAAACGAAAATAGGTTCTCCAAAGTTTTCTAAATTAAAAATAAATTACATGATTTCTTTGTTTGATTGTTTATTTTATTTTACATACCTTTACATGGTTCTGAAAGAAGAAAAACAAAAGTTTATGTTTATCAATGTTGATAAAAAGAATTTAGTTTACCTGTATCGTTGATCATCAAACCAGCACAAAGTTGATATTTATTATCATAAATTGAATTAAAACACATGGAATTTTGAGTAGTAATTCTATTTATTGATACTTGTTGAAGAATATTAGGAGTCGATTCGTCAACCATCGAATGTTTCCATCCAACAGCAACTAAATTTGAACTTTCTAGTGGATTAGAAGAACTGGTATTAGACAAGCATGTTTTAGAAAATAAAGGTTGTGTTGTTAATCTCAATGGATGTTCTAGACGAAGAATTGCAATATCGTGTAAGTGTGCTGCGTTATTCTTATAGTCTTCATGAATATGAACTTCAGCAACGGTATGAATAGATGTGTATTGTGAGAGACTATGAATACCAGCTGCAATTGTAATTTGATTTTTATTACGATTTATTACACATTGAGCAGTTGTTAAAATAAATAAATCAGATAAAATAGTACCACTACATGAATGTTTTGTACCATTAAGTCGAATAGAAACAATCATCGACCAACTATATTCATAAGCATTTTCACTACTACTATGAACGTTTGATGATTGTTGATTATCTTCGGATAGAACGACATTAGACAATGAGCATCCACATTCATTCGGAATTCGATTACACTCATAAGTTTTTTTTCTTAATGGTAAGCCAGTTGTTGTTGTTGCTGTTGAATTTGGTAGTAACAGACTATCTGTTGTTATTCTGACGGTGCTAGATGAAGTAGATATTTGTGTTGTACTAGGAGTAGTAATTATTGAGGATATTACAACACTGGATGGAGTTGTTGTTTGTATTATGCTAGCCGCCGTAGTAGTTGTTGGTGATAATGTACTAGATGGAGTTGTTGTCAGTGGTATATTAGGAGTAGTTGTCGTTGGCGATGATGGTAATGTACTCGACATTGTCGTTATTTGCGATGCATTAGAGATCATGGCCATTGTACTAGATGAAATCACTGTTTGAGGTGTATTCATACTTGTGGTCAATAATGATGATGATGCCGTATTAGGTAAAGTTGATGTTGTCTGTGGTATACCAGGTGACATAGTTGATGTTGTTTGTGGTATACCAGGTGACATACTTGATGATGATGCCGTATCAGATGAAGTTGTTGTTGTTTGTGGTATACCAGGTGACATACTTGATGATGATGGTGATGCCGTATTAGGTA